TTTAAAGGCAAGCAACAATAAAAGTTAATTATTCTTGTAAAAACTTCATGAAATTAAAAACAATTTAGGAATATCTGTGCAATAATAAAATAAAATAAAACAATCATCTAAAAAAATAAAAAAATTGCTCTTACTCACAGTATTCAGAATTATAAATGAAATAAAAACTTGGAAATGTGTCTGTAGAACAAGAGCTGATCAGTCACAAAACAAAAAAGTCAAATTTCAATATTACAAATAAAATTTTTTCAGCTATACATTTTCGAGGCATACTAACATTTAGATGATTGATTCAAAATCCATAGCGTGTTCTATAAATTCCATTTAACCGTCTGAATTTCAACACTATCATGCGATCTTTCTTACCCAGGTATCTTTTGAAAGCATTGGACATGTATTGGCACGAAGACTGCTTGAAATGCGGATGCTGCGACTGCAGGCTTGGCGAAGTCGGCTCGACGCTCTACACCAAAGCAAATCTCATTCTCTGCAAAAGAGATTATCTGCGGTACGTATTGGACAAACAATCCCATCGATCCATTCGATCCGCCTGCCGCAAAATTCTTTGTTTCGGCAAAACCTTCGATAGCGCCGTCTTATGTCGATGAGTCAATAAAGACAGATAGATGGATAAAGCGGGAGAAGAGTGCGGTGACGGGGAGGGAAATCGAGGAAAGCGACGGCAACAAATCGAATTTTACAGATGAGTTTCCCTTATTGAATACACCTACGTCCCGTATAAACAAGCGGGAGCAAATAAACCGTGTTGAGATTACAAAGTCCCCAGGGAATGCGCGCAGGTGGCGTCCGCACGACGAACACGCACCATCGAAACATTGTGGCCTTTATTAATGGCCCAATATTTGAAGACGGCATATTCGTGGTACCCGTAAGCTTATTGGTTTCTGCTATACGCGGGACGAAATTTCGTTCGCTCCCGTCATCGGGATAAACGGGAACGACTTTCTTCGCGTCGTAACGAAAAATCAGGCCTTCGAACTTTTGACAATATCTTACGGAGACAATATTTGAGACGCGGCATATTTTGTAACACGAGAAATCGCATAAAATCCAAAGAATATTATCGTGCATGTAATTGTTTGGAGAATCGATTCTGATAAAAGTGTTGTTTTTTCTCCTTAACAGACTCTTCGGAAATACCGGTCACTGCGCGGCGTGCAGCAAAGTAATCCCGGCGTTCGAGATGGTGATGCGCGCGAGAACTAATGTTTACCACTTGGAGTGCTTCGCTTGTCAGCAG